TTTTTTTTATTATTTTTCCCCTCGGCTCGGCTAGCTGAATGCATTGACTGGAAATTAATTATGCGGCAAGCTGATTTTTGCCAGCCAGTCGAAGAACTAGAGGCTGATCCTAGCCATTGCCAATACGGCCGCAGCTGACCCAGTTGTTTAATTGAATTGAAGCCATAAACACTCAAAGCGAGCAGGGCAGGACAGGGCGGGGTAGGACAGACCAAGACCGAGACCAAGTCCGAGTGGAAAATGAAAAATTGCAGCGCCAGGATGACGACGTAGAGGACGAAGCTGATGATGATGCCGACTAGCTAAATAACTTTAATTAGAGTTGCGCGTGCGATGGGCATCAATTAGTCGTGCAGGCGGCGCTCAATGAAATCGGAGGCGGTAGCGGTATCCGCCTGGCCGGCCGTTTTCCCCAAAGAGTTTTGGACTGCTTTGCCAGCCCTGGAAATTTGATCAACATGACAGAAACAAACGGGCAAACATACGCTTGCCAAGTAAAAGTTGTTGACATCCTCTCTAGGCCAACACGTACTACTAGGCCAACAGAGAGTACTAAACACTTGAAGCAGCACAGGAGGTAGAGGAAGGGGAAGGGAAGAAGGAGGTGGCAAGCAAATGTTTGCTTAAAAATGATGCGATGGCTGACGCTGCGCCTGACAGACGCAGCTAAACTCCTGTTGACAGTGACAAAGACCATAATGAGGACAATCATCATCATAATGATGATGGCGATGGCGCTGACGATGATGATGATTATGACTATGAGCTGTGGGGGCGTGGCATAGTGCGAGGCAGTGTCAGCATTCGGCATTATGCCGTTGACAAATGTCATTACACTCGCTGCTGAAGTTTGCTTTGAAGTGAAGGCGGCTTCTGACTTACCTAGAGAGCGACCCAGAGACCGAGAGAGCGGGACAGCAGTCGGTTATTGTTATGCCTCGAGTCACGCGAGTCGTTGGCCTCAGTCATTGACAAATGTGGCAGAAGTTTTCTTTTTGCCTTTTTCCTTCTTTATTTTTTATTTTTTGCTACTTTTTGTTGCACTTTCCTTTTGGCTTTTTGTCTCACTCGCGAATTGGCCTAGTTTGTCTTTACGTTGCCACACATATATAAATACATATGAAGATCTAAGCATAAGTGTGCGTGTGTGTGTGTGTGTGTGTGTGCAACTGTGTTTTTACACCACTCTCAGTTGAATGTGTGTGTGTGTGTGTGCGTCTATCCGTAGGCTATTTTGGCGCACTTGTCTGACGCTTTTGTCTGGCCAGCGTCTTCTCTCTCCCTCTCTCACTCTCTCCCCCGGACTTTCACACACCAACAGTCAGTCAGTCACACACACGCGAGCACTTGAGAGCTTTTAACAAGTATTAGTGCTGTTAGTTAGTGGATGCGGCGAAATTAGGCAGACAGTGTCGGGGGCTCACTTACACACGAACTTTTGACCCCGTTTGTGCAACAGCAACAACAATAACAATAACAGCTGCTTTCGAGTCCCTTTTTTGTCTCACAACATCTCCTCACTTTGGCGTTTCACACTGCACTTTGCCGCAAAGTGGGCGCCGCTTCACTGATACACACATATACAAGTGCGTGTGGCTGTGTGTGTGTGTTGCGTCTTTGAAGTTAGCATACTTTACATATTTTGCCGCCTGCTGATAGCTTATTGATTAAAGCGTATTCCACATTAAATTCACATCAGTTCAATTTAATATTCGCACGCTCAGAGAATCTAAATATTTACATTCGCAGCACTTTTCAATACTTTTATTCAAGCAGCGGGGCTGGCAAATTATAATTTGTTTGATAAATGCTTTATAAACACTTTTGCAACGCACGTTCTGTTCGACGTTAGGAATGGATACGGTTGTCTCAAAGGTACCGTTACCCGTGACCGTGACGTTACTGCTCAGCCAGCGCCTCACGAACTAACGTCGCTTACGTCGAGCGCTTGAAGCCGAAGCAATGGCAGCGGCAGCAGCAACAGCAGCAGCGCAAGCAGCAGCATCACTTTGACGTTTGACAACACACAGCTGTGATTGGATGGGAACAGCTCTCGCAGCGGCAAGGAAATTCTCTCACTTGTTTTGCTTTGGCGCCAAGCCTGTGCACGTGCCAGGCCCCAAACAGCTGTTGCGGCTGGCCGACTCTGCGCTGCGCTGATGCCTCTCACTTCCACAAAGTACCACAATATGGGGATATTTGAAAGCTTCGCGCATTATTATAGCACTGGAAACCACTGGGAACAGTTGCAAATAAGCCCAACAAATGTAGGAAGAATTGCAGCCCATATAGTTTTGGCGCGAAAGTCGCCGCCGCTAGGGAGAGTCCAAGAAAGGTGATGGGATTTTCCACCAGACGATTAGTGGTAAGACATAGATATAATATATGTTTTGTCATTTCCGTTTAATTTAACTGCGCTTTATGTGTTATTTATTACATAAATACAAAAACCTAATCGCACAAAAATGCACAACTATAAAAACGCATCCTACACGCACATCCTTAGTCCTTTCTACGTAAGTATTTCATTTGTATCTTCATTCATTCAGCAGCAATGACCATCATGTCCGCTGTGATTGTGTGCGCCTCTGTGTAAGTGTTTGCTGTGATCGTGCGCCGACACCTCGTCGCCTCCGTCCTTGCTCTTGGGCTTGCCGTCGTCTTCCGCCAGCTCGCGCAGGTCGCGGCGCATAGCGTAGGCATCCTCTCCATCTGCGTAGTATTTTGGCTCAACCTCGATGATCTTGAACTTAAGCGAGTTTGTGTAGAGATTGAGAGCGGCGCGATTGCTTTTGCGAACGTGCAACGAAACGTACTGAGCATTGAAGCACTCGACCATGGCCTGTGAGGCCTGGTTCATTAGTTTCTGGGCAAGGCCGAGACGGCGATAGGAACGCTTAACCGCCAACGAGGTAATATGTCCGTGTTTACTCTCCTCTCCGGGCTCCGGCTCCTCCATCTTGGCCAGCACATAGCCAACAATGTTGCCCTTGTCGTCCTCCGCAACGTAGCTCAACTGGGGCCACGTCAAGCCATGGTAGAAATAGTATTTCATTTGATAGTTCTCCGGCAAGCAAAGCAGATTGCAATGCTGCATGGTCATGAGGTCGTCAGGCTTGGCGCATCGGATGTTCATTTTGGATCCAAACTATGTACGCTTATGTATGTAAATGGAAATGCGCGTATGTGTATGTGTGCTTAGTCACGTCGCGCTTTACGTGCTCGAACGTTTTGATTTTGCTCTCCACCAACCAACTGCGGTTCCTCCAGTTCCTCTTGTCCCAGCAGTTCACGCACCAACCGAAATTTGGATAGAAATGCCTTCCAAATCAAAAACCAGCCTGAAATATAAAACAATTAATTCAAAAATATAATGTAAGCACAATGTTTAATCCCAGAGTTCAGTTTCCGCCGCCTTACCCAACAAAATAATGGCAGCTACAATACTAACGGAAGCTAATATTGTGAATATAAACGCCAGGCCCGTTTGAATGGACATGCTAAATATCACAAATAATCACAGTCTTTGACTTTGGAAATTGCTTTCGCACATTTAGTCTGCTGGCATATAAATAAAAACAGAATTTGTTCACGTTTCCGTTTCGATTGAATGAAATAAATACATGCTTCCAAATACACAACAGCTGTGACGCAGCTGTCAGTTTTTGTTTTCCAACACTGCACCCAGAGTTGCCTCACGCTGACTCCTCAAACAGTATTGAAATTCCCATTGGAATATACAAATGTGAAATATCTAAACATGTACGAATTACAAATAAAACTTCACTCAATTATCCTAAATTATGAGATAATTGGTTTACTATAATATTGAGTTAAGTGTGATTGTGTGTGCAGCACACTTAATTTGCGGCGAGTCACATGGAATAGCCTGAGTACGTACTCGCTAACGCAACATCTACTTAACGGTGCTGCTGACAATGAATACACACTTTCAAATGCAGCTACTACAATATTATGTTAATTTATAAATATAATCACCTTGATATTGTTGATATACTATACTTTTCGCGGAGCACGCACACTTTTCGCCACTTGCTATACACCGGCACTAATTAGTGTTGGGAAATGCCCCATTCGCAATCGAGAAACAGCTGTTCACTGAAAATAAGTTGGCAGCACGTTTTACAAATATACACAATATCAAGAAATAAACAAAGCGAAATGCAGGAATTTAGTGCGAAACGCGATGCACTCTTTGCCTGTCTCGATGATGCCAGCAAAGAGTTAAAGGGCACGGCCCTAGATCAAAGCAAATCGAAGTACACAGTCGTAGCACTGGAGGAGGAAAAGAATAGGAACCCGGTAATGAAATATCGGCAGGGTCGCAGCATTGAAGCTGGCAATGAAGTCGAGGATGGGAAGCTGCGCCGCATGCGAGGCAAGGAGAGCATTTTCAAGAAGCCAGAGTTACCTATTGGGCGATGTCTGAAGCCGCGCAAGACGCCAGACTATCAAATCAATCCACACAAATGGAAGAAATATTCACTCTCCGATGTAGACATATCCGATCAGACTAACGCAGCGGCCGCATTGTCCTTTCTAAGGCAGATGGATGCACAGCGAGATGCCGACTCGGATGGCACTGACGACATGGATGAGGCAGGCACACGAACAACTTCTAAGATTGAGTTCAAAAAGACCAGCAAATTGAATCGCAATCTCAAGCAGCTGAGGGAAAGCGAGGTGGATGATGTAGAGCTGGACAAGCCACAGCTGCGCGGCTCCAAGCTGGTGATGCCTGAATATGTGATTGGCCAGAAGTCCACTAAGAAGCCAAAGAAACAACACAGCCCAAGTCAAACAAATCTACGGGCTGCCGGCAAACTACAGTTGTCCCATTTAGAAGAACTTGATGAATTTGACGAAACTTAGAAGTATTAATAGAAACTAGATATAGTTATACAAAATATAGTTTGTATTTATAAAAAATAAAACAATACATGGAGTATATAGTACTGGCAAACATGGAGGGGACAATAGAACATTAATATACAATTTAAAATATAATTACATATACAAAATGAGACGACAAGTATAAATGCAATTCAGTCGAATGGGAACGCTTCCATTTGTGCTCGTCAATTGATATAGAGAGTAATCTAGTCGGTGAAGCCCGGATTGAAGTAGAGCTTCTTATTGAAGCCCAGGTTGTCGTAGGCGCCCATCTGCAAGTGGCCATGCCTGGTACGCATGTTGCCCACCAACGCCTGCGTCTTTTTCAGAATGTCCTCCAACGAGGTGTCGTGTGCATGCTCGGCCATTGTATCACAGAACTTTTGAATGTACCAGCTGCCTTCATCGGGATCCCGATGGGTCTGGAAGCCGGGCATTGTGGCATAGCATACCAAAATATCCGATAGTGTTGGCACATTGTCAAAAGGCATGCCGTCGGTTTGAATGCGCAAGCTCGTCATCCTCATGTTCAATGAGTGGGTTAAATACTTTCCATGATCTGGAGTCTCGCCACGACAAAATGGAAATATAAGCACCTTGGGCTTGTGTAGCAAATGGGGACAACTTCCAGGCTGGAAGTGATTGATGATTGTCTTCACATTGATCACAGAGTTATCGCTAAAGATCACTTTGTCCACTTCCTCGATGCGCTCGCCGTGCGTCATCAGCACCATGACAAAGCACTCTGTATCGCGCACATAATCCGAGTTAGTTAGTTCGTGGAGCGTCTTGAAGAACTCCGTTTGATTGAGATTCTTGTAATAGAACGTCGTGAATCCAATTTCACGGAAGATGTGTATCAACGATTCACTGTCTATATCTGCACCATTTCGTTTTTTTCCGGGATCCGGGAAGTCAATGATGTTCACAATGAAGAGAACGCCGCGATTGTGCTTCGACTTCATGGTGTATGCGCCCAGCACATTGTCAGTGTGAATCCGAGTAGACTTGATAACCTGCCGATTTTGGCCACTCAATTCCCCAACGAAGGGCTTTAAAGGACCATCTGCATCATTATGCAAGACCTGCAAGGGACATATAGTTTACTTACAAATCCGAGGGCTTAAAGTGGATCTACTTACGATTTTCCTACTAACACTTGGCTGATCGTCGGGCGGTTCACTGACACGATTGTCAACAATATCCGTGGATTTATTGGAATGCGCACGGCTCAACGATACGAACTCATTGTTCGGTGGGTCGATCTCTTCTAGTATACGCAATGCTTCAATGTACTTCAAACTCCTAAGAATAGCCTTCAGCTCTGCATAGGCAGTGGGTCCACGCTTTGTAATCTTTTCAAAGTACTTTCGGCTCCGATCTAGCTGCACCTCCTCCTCATTCTGATATTGTCCCATAAACTGCAGAACCTCAATGTTGCGGCGCATCACGGGCGACAGCAGACCTCTGCGTACGGTTTCCGTCATTATAACATTGTAGTCGGTGATTCTGATAAGCTTCTCTATGTTTTTGTAAATGTGTTGGCGGTGCTTCTGCTGCATGCCAATCTCCCGCTCTTGCACTTGAGCGACCTCTTGCTCTCTCACTTCCTCCATGCTGTGCAACGATCTCTCTATATATGGAGCCTCGAGTTCGAGGACGTTAATTCTATTTTCAGTTCGTTTCGTTTCGTTTGTTGAACGCAATGCGGACGCAGCGCAACAGGCAGTGACAATGGCAATGACAATGACAATGGCAATATCAATGGAAATGGAAGTCGAATTGGAAATTACTGACGAAATGAGTCACTGGCTTCGTTGACTTCTTTTGTTCTCTTGCAAAAGTTGATCCTTATTTTTTCAAAAGCAAATTATTATTGCACTTAGTGGTTAAACTATAAAATTAGCTAAGTCTTATGCTTTTTGATAAGATTTCATTTGAAACAAAGGGAGTTAATCATCCAACTTTGCTGGCAGTGGCTGCGGGCAGTGTAATTGCGCGTCCGTTCAATCTCGCTCGTATTCTAACACTGTTCGATGCTTGCAAACACTAACCATATCTATGTGCTGCAACCATATGATTAGTGCTGCAAATCACACCGTGCAACAAAACGCTTAAGCAAATGCGAGTAATTCATTGTGGATCTGGACATCATTTGCAACCGTATGCCTATTGGCAATCCTATAATAATTATTTTAAATTTAAAAATAATTAGGTATATATACAACAAACATAATCGGCGTTAATTATGCACAAAATTTATTGGAAAATCTTTATTTAGCACTACTGTGATGCAGCGACCAGGGCTGCATAAACGAGTGGGCAGTTCCAATGCGCAACAGCTGTTCGGCGTGCAAACAGAAGTGAATTTTGTAATTCAACAAGATGGATCAGAATATACCCATTAAAACGGACAGTGACGATTTAATCAAAAACAAATCGGACATTATGATACCAAACTATCTGAAACGCCTCGTACTGGAGTATTTACAGAAACATGGCTGTACGCATGCCAATTTGGAGACCGTCGTGAGGTCAAGGCGAAAAAATCAGGAGAAGGCCATAAGTAAACAATCTAGCATTTGCTTCTTGTTCAGCTAAGTAATGAAATTATTATATGGATATATAGAGTACATATGCCAAGCCTACAAGGATGCTGAGGTGCGTGGGAATCAGGAATGCGAGTCGGTTTGCCTAAGACACATAAATCAGTGGCTAGAGCTGTTAAACAATGCGGAATTGTCGAATCTGTGTGAATACGAAGCAGCAGCCGTAATAAATAGCATAGTGCGCACGGAGGTGCAACCAAAGCCGGAACAGCTGGGAGGCATCGACTTGAGGCAAGTTGCATAGCCAGTTTAAGGGTACATAGATATTTATGTTGTGATTTCAGTGAGGTATACGGCTTTCTTGAGAATGCCTTAACTGGACAGGCGCAGAAGAGGTTAAGCGACGCCAGCGAAGCATTTCTTGCACGGGAAATTGAGGTAAAGAAACTTCTATGCACTTTCGTTTCATATTAGTAATGCCTTGTTTTCAGCTGCTCATTGAAGAGGCCAACAATGATCATTCCGATAAAGTGGTACGGAGCATGGGAGAGAAGCTGTACGAGCGGAATGAGTATAACTATGAGGCGGAACCAAACAAATGCAGCTTGGATCCATTGTTTTTAGATGAATAGCTTAAGGACTGTACATAAAAATGATACTCAAGCATATTTATATCCACACATATTTATTAAACATTTAAATTCAATTGTTTGTCGAGTTAAATTGTACGCGTACATTTTGTCACAATCCTTAAAACTGTTAAAGTTGCTCAATCTCAATCTCAATCCTACTTAGGTGTATAGGCTGCCTGCATCTTGTATATGTCTTTTCCCATAGTACGTATTTGTAAGATAATTAATACATACATACATAATTTAAGTACATTTCTATGTATAAATAGTTGTTAGCACATTTAAAATCTAAGTAAGGGGCTTACGAAATTTCACACAATTTACTTGAAGTAGTCTATATGATAGAATATGTATATATATAAGTATTTAAATTTGGCTTTTAATTTATAGTTTCATCTTCGGTTTTTTTTTTATTTATTGTGCATGATTGTTTTCAAGAGTTGTTCTCGCAAGAGTAATGCCAAAATGTATTGCATAGTCTAAGTATAGAATAGAGTGTAGAGTATTGTTTAAAACGTTAACAGGCATAAAAAGAGTTGAGTGCTATTTGCATCTCTCATAGCATCACAAATAGATCACAAGAGACAGAGTTGATTTGATACGCCATTGGTTTTGGTTTTTCTTTTCTTTTACAATAGGTGTTACACATATATAAAAACAGAAGTGTTCATACATACATACAATCAGAGATACATACATATATAAATACTCATTTAATATTACTATTTAGTTTCTTTGTTTTTTTCTTTTTTTCTTTTTTATTTTCTTTCGTTAATAATACAATATAATAATAATATAATTCTTAAATGTTCAGTCCAGTTTGAGCTTTTTGGTTTTCCCCTCTTTTATTTTTTGTTGTTTACATAAGTTTTAATTAAAATTAATTTAATCTATAATATATTTTTACACTAGAAAATAATATCAGATATGCTTGTTATAGAACCCCAAATAAATTGAATATAAATCAAAGAGAAAACAAATTTGATGCATGTTTGATTGTTTGCTGGAGTCAATTATAAACCTATTTGATTTGAGAATCATTTCATTAAATTTAACAAATTAACAAAAAACAACAACAACAACAACATAAATTTGTCATATATGTATATATTTTCAATCAACTTTCATACATAAAGTAAGAGCGTCAATAGAATTTTGATTGTCCCGTTCGTGTTGTTCTGCTGGATGACAGATCATATATATATATATATGTATATATATTTGCTAAAACACTACTACAACAATAATAATTATTTTCATTTCATTATGGCTTTTTAATATTGTGTTTAGTGCTCGTTTTTCAAATTATATATGTGTATATATATCTATACATACATATATATACTATACAAATTGACTTCCAGAATTCTCATGTAATACGAGTTAAAACTTATTTTCTTTTGGTTACATGTCTGTGTATTTACCTTAGTAGTAGTTTTCTAAACATTTTTTTAGGGTTAAATATGGATGATACTTGGTCTAGTATTTAAAATTTGTTTTATGATTATCTGGTTAATGTATTCATTTTGCCATCAAAAATATGAAATTTAACAGGGCGATAATATGATATATCGATTTATGTATATGTTAATTATTTTGTGTCAGAGTGTTTAGTATTATCTGCTCTTAAGTAGGTACGCTATAGGTACATGATTCCTTTTATATATGTAGGTAAATAGTGATGTGTATATATATAAATATGCAACTCTTTTCACGAAAAGTAAAATGGTTTTTGACCGACTCGGTCAGGATTTATAGTTGGATTAGTTAAGAAATGACACTCCCGATATTCTAATGGAGTTCACATAGAAATATGTTAGCCATGAGTAGATATGTATATGTAATATGAACGTTAAATAATTCTAAAAATATTGGTATATGATTCTGTTGGTATATGATATTTATCGTTTATATATTTAGTTAATGTATTAAGTAGTCGACATGTAGCTAGATGTTGATATTATATATTTTTGTTGCGTTCAGATTGATTGCATTTAGCACTTGTGTTAGTAGTGTGTTGTTTTTGTATTTGTATTTTTCTGTTGTTGTGTTTGTTGTTGTGATTTTGGAATGTGTTCAACACATTTGTGGGTTCATCTAAATACACAAAAATTATTTATATATGCTTTGTAGTTGTTTCTTGTTTGCTCTCTAATAACATTTAAATTCATTTCAAATATAGATAATTATGAATTTTTTTTTTTTTTTTTCTTTTTTGTGACTGATGCTTACAATGTTTGTTTAATGTGTAAATATTGTATACATATATAGCGCTAATATAAGCTGATTATTGGTGTTTCTAATGGACCGAAATTGCTTTAAAAATATATACTCAATATATATATTTAGATTAAGTAATTTTATTTCTTGTATCTTTTTAGTTACGTCCGGAGAATAGTTGATACTGTAATAAAGTTAATTAGTCCATCAATTTTAAGGTTTTCACACGATCTTCAATATAAACTATAGAGATGTTTCTACGATATCAAATGGAAGGAAATATATTGGTTGGCTATTGCTCGATAACTACGAAATACGGCTGGGTTTTTACAGGTTTAGCTGACATCGATACGAAAAAATTCATAAATATGTATCTAGGGATTCAGAATTATTTGGATGGAATAGAAAACTTGGCGGATACACACGATAAACATGTATATATCAATATATAGTACATAGCATAAAAAAAGGACAACGACTAACGAATTTAGGATCTTTACTTGGCACTCGATTGTTTTTGGAGGATGTTTTTAGAGGATTTTACTGGGAACAGAGTTCATGCACACATACGACTACGGAACGCAAGGTTCCCAGGGTTTTTGGGATCTGCTTTAGATATATGTATATGTATAAATGTAGATCGCTTACAATTCAAAACTACACATCGAATATTTTAATATATGTTTAAATGTTACATTTTTATAGGTTTCCACGTGTTGGGTGGGAAGGCTTGAATGGTTGAGTGTGTCAGTCGAGAGTAGATGTCAATGGAAAAATGGGGAGTGTAGTGTAGCATGAGTATGTGTGTCTAAAAAACCACTACTAAGGTACAATTGTTGGGTAGGAGACGGGCGTAGTGTGACTTGGTTTTGGATTTGGTTTGCTACCCTGGACTTAAAGAATACTTAACATTTATTCATAAATAAATAAATATATATATTTAAATATTTTAATAAAACGTATTCATATTCTTCCAATCATATATATATATATATGTATATATATATTATATATATATATGTACATAGAGTTCCCGCACAGAATGCAAAAACGTTCAACTCTTAAGGCACATTTCGAAGTAGTTTAAATATATATCTTATACTGACAATAGATGTGTACAAAATAAACAGAAACAAAAGAAATCAATTCGAATAGCTAAACAAACATACGAATGCACACAGAGAGTATTGAATGGGGGCGTGGATGCTGCGGGGCTTCACAACAACAAAAATCAAGCACAAAGGCAATCAAAGCAATATTCTAAACATTAAGTATATATATAGTATATATACGATGGTACACGACTAAAGTTACAAGTACAATAAATTCGCAGAGACTTAAATGTAAATTGAGTTCGGTTAGAAATACAAATGCATATCATATCATCGTTAGTCAGTTTATAGATTTAATTTTAATTTTAGTTTCAGCTAAGGAGTTTAGCTTTTAAGTTTAAATTATAGTTTAGCAGCGCCTTCAGTTTTGGCTATACGCCTCCAGTGTCAGTCATTCAAAAACGAGTGTAGACAGTTCCAGTACTTAGATTTCATAATCTCTACTCCTATTCACATCGTTTCTCTTATTAACATTGCATTAGTTGTATTTCCAAATATTTACATACAAATATATATATATACATATATACTTATATATATCCGTATATATATATACTATATATATTCTTGTGCAATCAGATGGGCAGAAAGTAAAACGGCAAGTCAAGTTAGATAGTTTTTAGATATACAATAACAATTCATTTCAATTCATATATACAAATACGAGTATTACGAGTGCATTCAGACAATCACAATAGATGCATGAATATACATATATGTATGTATGTATTTTTAACACCGAAACTGAGCATGCTTTAAATATGTTGCTGAAGTCGCTTAACAGGAACTCGTTCTTGGAATTGAATAATACCCTTCCCAAGTTTACCTAATTGGTGTGGCCAACACTACCACATGATACACTTTTATCACAGTGCTATGTATTCCCAATTTTGAGCATTTTCCTGAAAAATATTAAGAACTCTCTTTGTGTAGTTTCAAGAAATTCATATTACAATTCTTGAACATTTGTTAAATTTTTCAGGTATTTAGAATCTCTTGTTGTTAAGTAAAATCTATCATGTATCATATATATATATATTTATATATTTTTATATTTTTAGCAAAGTGAAGAAAAATGTTTAAATTCTCCTATTAAAATCTATCGTATATCGAATATACATATATGTATTTTTCACACATACGCAAAGTATTGAGAATCTTCTTAAGATGCTCTCTCTCTCTCTTAATGACATCTATCTATATAATTCTTGAAGTGTTGTCTATCACTTTGCTTCAATTCCAAGACGAAAGTTTCACTTACTAAACCGACTTCAATTTTGAGTTTGAAAACTCTTCGATATGTAATTTATATACTTTAGATGTTAGCAAAAAAACACATGCGATTCGAAGCAAACAAGTAAATTTGTAAATCAAATTAAAATTAAGCATTTAAGTCATATTTCCATTTATATTTACATTCAATTATGGAGCATAACCATCCAAGTTATATAAAACCACTTTCTGGAGGGGCGAAGGAGAAATCAATCAAATGTTGCGATTGTCACAAATGTCAGCTTAAGCTTAGATTATGTCAACTTTTAGTGCATGTGCTTAACTAACTGTAAGTCAGTTGGCCTAAGTACAATCTAGGTCTTAAGAGCAATCGATTTGACGACAATAAGAAGTAGAAATAAAACTAACATCACGTTTCGAACATTAAAAACTACTTTAAACTACGGTTTGGGATGTTGAGTATATATATATATACAGATATATATATATATATATATATGTGTGTGTGTGTGTATGGGTGTCTGAGTAAAAAATCTGTCAATTGTAATGAATAATTTAGTTCAACATAGAAACGCGCAGCATTTTTTTTATGACATATAATTTCTTGAATGAGAAATATTTTATTCAAATTTCGATGTGAGTGTGTGTGTGTGTCTGTGTGTTGGAATGGATATTACGCAGCAACAAATAATAACTAGGTACAATTATAATAATAATAATAATAATAATGATAATATATAGCTACCAATTACTAATAATATGTATGTTATATAAACATATATGTCAATATATATGTATTTAAATATATATTCGTTACGATTTATCAGATATGTTTTTATAATGCGACATTAATATTTATTGTACATAGATAAGAATGCGTTTTAATCTATAATTAATTTCAATAATAATAATAATACAAAAAAACAACATTTCTTACACAATTGTCAAATATGTTTTAGTTAGTAGTTAATTTTAATTAATAATTAAACTAAACTAGATATATATGTATATAATATATATATATAGTATATTGTAAATTATAAGTATACATATAGAAATATATTTGGATTTTGCTTCATTTTACCCTCTGCCCCTTTTTGCATACAACTTTTCAAGAATTTCTCTCATTTTCATTTGCATTTTCATTTCAATTTTCGCTTTTCAGTTTCTGTTTTGTCGAATCTTTCAATATTTTGGCGCATTCAAGTTCAAATTGAGGTTTCGTTGCTGTGCTCTGTAGCGCACATTTCTGTTGTTGTAGTTGTTGTAATTGTAATTGTTATTGTAATTGTGAAAATCAGCCGAGGGCTGCGCCTCGCCGATTTCGTTCAGATTATATTATTGACTGAATGTTATATTGAGTGACGGACACTTTCGGACGCTGCTGTTGTTGCTGCGCGTACCATTGACCCGCAACAGCGGCACAGGACTAACCGTACCGGATACGGAAGTTAATTGTCTTACCATTCCAGATCCCAACTGCTGCAGCAAGCCAGATCCAGACCCGAGCGGACCCGATGACAAGACCGTCGAGGTGCGACGCGAGCGTATCGACTGCATGCTGGACGACAATAAGAACGGGACGCTGCTCGAGGTGTTGGGCATGGAGCCACCCTGTTTTTGAGAGTACAATAAAGGAGATTTCTTTGGAAGATTAGTTAAAGCTTATCACCATGGCCGCTTCATTATCTGCGAGCTGTGCGGAGTACATATACATATATATGTCTATATATATATATATATATTTTAGATGTGCCATATATACAAGTACTATATGTACAATGATGTGAATGTGGCTTATGCTTATGTGTGTGTGTGTGTGTGTGAGTGTGTGTGTGCCTATGCATAGCAGCTGGGCTGATTGAATGAGCTGTTAACGATAGCTGATACATATACAAACAACCAAACGAAATTATACAGAGAGTGACAGAGCGGCAGCGAGAAGAAGCTACCCAATAGAGCAAAAGCCATGAAAACATAGCGCAAACATCTTATACAAATATATATATAGAGAGAGAGAGAGAGACAGCTAGAGTATGAATATTATGTGAATATATTTGATATACGTCTATGAATCAATCAAGTATTCGCATGTACATCAAATCCAATTAGAACGCGAACAGCGAACAGAAATGTCTCCTTTATTTGTAAATAAAAATACAAATTACATTAACATAAAGAAATTAACATCAGCAGAGTATATGTGTGTGTGAGTGTGTGAGTAGGTAAAAGCGGAAGGCAGAGAGTTCAAAATTCAAATAAAATCAATTGAAAAATTCCGAAATAAGATAACGTGTACTCACGATCATGCTCCGTGCAAGCTGCAAATTGTATTAATTTATTCGTTTTTTTTTTTTTTGTTTTTTTAATTTTCATATATATATAGTTTATATATAATATTTGTTGTTCGCACATGAAATGGAGAAACGGAAAATACACACATGATATAAATACAGCATATATGCACAGTAATGTATGAGTGTGTGTAACGTATGTATATGTATGTGTGAAACAGCTCTATATGAATCGTAGCGTGAGATGCGCGCTTAACGAGAATTTCAGTAACAAATATAAGCACAAACATTCGAAAATACACTCAACGCATATGTGTAGTAGTATGTGTATATATGTAAGTGTGTGTGTATTTTTGCTTTTGTTTTTTTAGACACCGTTCAAAGAGGACAGGAAAAGAAGAAATTGATAACTCAAAATTGAAATCAACAACTGAGAACGATCGGGATATATAATGAATAATTTTTGTGGAATTTACATGTTTTTCTCTTTTTGCAGAATACATATCAATGACAGATGTTTAGAGGCTGTGTGAGATGTACTATATCAATTGTGTGTCAGGTGTGTGTGTGTTCAACATTCCTAAATTGAACGTCAGTTAGCTTAAAAATTGAGCAGTTGAGAAACAACAAATATACATATGGAAACTCGAGCTTGCCGTAGCGAATACAAATAAAAACCACTCAAATAAATATGTATATATAGTTAATTATCACAAATAGATATTCGTGAAGTAATACAAAGTTGTAGAGACCAGCGATGTTGTTGAACAGCAATCGAAGCACTTGCTCTGACCTTTACTTACAGCTCTTATACAGCTCTTACACAACTCTTATAGCAATGCTCAGGCACATCTATGTATATATACAAATAATTCAGAATATATTCACAATGTATACACAAACGGAAAAATGGAAGTTAAAATTAAACAAAGTTAAGTTTCGAATTTACACAAATAATTGATAGACGTAAAAGGTTTCAATATACACTGAATTAGCATAAGCATCCAGCTTGATGGACAGCCACGCCCATGCCCACGCCCGCGCTTTAACAACAGCCTGCTCGTTACAGAGAGTACAGAAAGTAAGTGAGAAACCAAAACAACAACAACCATCAACGAAATGACTGTACAAAAATGTAAATCAACACAGTTGCAAATTAGTTAAAGTTTCAGTACCGAGACAGAGACAGAGACGAATATATATGTATGTATATAAACGAAAATAAGAAAACAATGGAATGAAAGACAAAAAAAAAAAAACAAAATACAGATAAGTTTTTTGTTGTTTTGTTTTTGTTCCATTCAGGCAGCACGTCAAATGTAAATACAGAGAGTATCAGAACGAGACAGGCAATATACGGAGTAGATTCAATTTATTAAGGCAACAATTCAAATGCAACTTTCAATTCAAACTCAAGCTCAAACGCAGATCCAAAACTGACTTGCAAGTTGCGGTATGCAAAATATACAGAGAGATTCAGACAGAGACAGAGACAGTCAGAGAGTGAGAGAGTGAGAATACCAGAAACAAGTTTCGAACGAACGAGCGAGCGAGCGAGCAACTTCCGGTCGCCATATTTGCGCCCCACATACAAAAATCGTAGCATACATTTCGGAGCCAACTAAATACTTTTGGCAACAGCCGTTTAGATATACGTATGTGTGTTTGCATGTGTGTGTGTGTGCAAGTGTTGACTGCTTGTGGGCGAGAACAACAACAACAACAGCAATAAGAACAATATTGTAAACAAGAACGGTTAACAAAAACAGCACAAGACACAATTGTTTTATCAACATGGCAAAAGATCGTTGCTCTCTCTTTTTGATGGATATGAATATTGACTATTGAGACCCAAGCACAGCGTGCAGCGTGTTGTTGTTGTTGTTGTTGTTATTACAATTGTTATTATATTATTAATGTGTTCAATATGTTGCCAGTGGCAAGCACTTCTTTGTTTTTTAGACTTACAACATAGGCTGAAGTTGAGGGCACCGATAGGCTCGATCCGGAGCTACCTCGAGCGCCATACTAATATATGTGATATATGTATTTAATTTGTGTATAGGAAAAGCGAAGCAAAGACCCAACGATGACGACGACGAGGACGACGACGACGTTTGTTTTTGTGTTTTGTTATTGTTTTTTTTTTTTATAAATATATTTACATTGTTTTGAGACGTTCAAATGTTTTGTTTTTTTTTTTATTTTATTTTTTGGTGGGGCGGGAAAGTGAAGATAAGATAAAAGAGCGTGTGTTAGAGCGTTTGTTAATTGATTTTCTCTTATCTTTCATTGCAGGAAATGAGCTGATCATAAGTATTTATAAATATGTAGACAAAAGCCGATATCAGGGCAAATCATAAAAGTAAGGTAAACGTAATCGTATAATATTATATAATAGTAGTTCTGCATGTTTCTCATGTTCATGTTAAGCGGCTGTTGTTCTTGTTGATGACAACTGTACTTTGTTGTTAACTGTAAATTAACGCTAAATGCTACTCGCTAGGCGCTAAAGTTAAACACAATTCCTTTAAAGTAAGCCTCATATGAGGGCCCATATGGAAACAAAAAACAGTTTATAATAGGTAAAGACGAATTGAAATCAAATAAAAATTAACCGTAAGCCTTTGTGACTGTCAGCGGTCAAGCAAACAATAGCGAGCCAAAGGTGAGTGCAGCAGCACAAACAAATACGAAGGACAACAAAATATGAAATCGAAATGAAAAGAGGAGAAAAGAAAAGCGAATCACAAAGGAAAACCCAACTGAATGCTAAATGAAGCAACCACAACAAACAGAATTGCGCTCGCGACACAAACAAATATATAAATAAATAAATAAATTATCAAAATAATAAAAAGGAACCCAAAATGGGCAACGTGCCACGTCGCGTGGCAGACACAAACAACTTACAGTTGGCGGTGACAAATTGATGGTGGAGCCGCGTCGCTCCTGGGGTCCGATGCTCGAATGGCGACGGGTGGGCAAGCCGCTGCCCGGCGTGCCGCCCGGCGAAGAGGCGCACGACGGAGCGATTCGTATCTTTGGTGTCATCAGCGTATTGTCCGAGAGCCGTCGATTGGGAAACACGTTGCCGACGCGCAGGAAATTGCTATCCGGCGACGAAGGCGAGCAGCCAAACCACCAGCCGCCCAGCATGCCAGAGCCTGGGGCGGGGACAAAAACAGTTGCATATATAGAGAATTACTATGAAAATTGCATAAACAGTGGCCAGCTAATTGGGTTTCATAATGAGAGACCTCAAACATTTTAGCACCACACACTGCATGCATGTGTGTGTGTGTGTGTGTGTGGCTAAGTGTGGCCCTGTCAGATGTGCTTTCTACCGCTGTCATTGTCAAGGACACAAACGCAACAATCTGCGGTTACAGCTGTGGCTGCTGCATGTGACTCGACCCTCGCCATACCACCCAAAGGCCTCCACTCTGCTTCTAACCTTCTCTCCCGCTCCTACTCCTGCTGCAGCCCAGGTAATTCACGTCAAACGTTATTTACTCACATGCTTGTACACTGCACCACGGCAATCCATATTTCAATCCGTTTCGCATACTGATTTTACTTAATTTCACGGCATACGACATGCATGCATGTTGTTAAAAAAATTCACGTTCAACTCAATTAATGCCGCTCAAAAATTTCGTAAATGCGTTAAATGTAAAAATTACTCTTTGCAGTCGTCGTCTGCAGCTTTTTACAGTTCATCAACTGCATGAGCAATGGGTTTATTTGATTATGTGACAGTTTTGCATATAAATATGCGAATTGCGGGCATGCAGAGTTGCCTTTGATTCGCTGCACATGACGAGTGAATTCCTGCCTGATTTTCCACTTGATTTCGCCTCGCCTTAGTCTGCATTTGTGCTTTCACCTCCACATTATATACTCTTTGTGCACTCTTTAATTGAAATTCGCTGGGCACAGACAAACTTTTAGCTCTCGATTCACCTGAGGGCGACCAACCATGTGTATACTTAATATTGCTAAGCATATGCAATGAAGCGCAAATATTGAGTGTGTTTTCATTGGCTGTTGAACTACAGTTAATATGCAGCGCACAGCTAGGCACATCCACCCTCTCTCTCCCTCTATATTTCTATGTTTGTCTACTGTTAACCACAAAAACCACAGCGTAGCCGCAGTGTAGCCTCATGGCCTCTGGCCGCTTCCTGCCCAGCCCATTTCTTTGCACTTGACTGGAAAGTGAGGCAACAACATGTCAATTTCGCAATATATAGTTGCCTCTCTTAATTTAGAGAGAGAGAGAGAGAGAGAGAGGAAACCACAGAGCCACACGCACACATTTGTTTTCAGCTGACATTGCAGCAGGCCATGAAATGTGCGACAGGTGCGAACAGCTCGGCCCACCTTTTGACTTGCATTTGCGACAAATTAAAAGTTTGCCCGCACACAGAGACGCCCAAAGGGCGTGACATTGTATTTACAAGCGATTAAGTACTCATAATAAATCATCGTTAAGGTGGAAAGTTCATCAAGTGCTGCAGCGACAAGTGGCACGTGCCACACGTAACTCAATCTCCTGCCGACAGTTGCTGGCGGCTCTGATTATACAATTTTCATTTTCATTTTCATTTTCATTTTTCGCTTTAATTTCGATTCGGTTTTTTTTTTTTTTTTGTTTTTAATTTGCATAATACAATTAAATGCCACAGCTCACGGCTCATTTTCGGTTTGACAAATTAGTGAGCGCTGCCGGACACAGGATCCTGATTAGGCGTCCCACAATGCTAAACTGTCACGTACCATGGATATCAAATGGAAACTCCGATGCTAATGCCAATGAAAATGTTCAATTAAGCTGCTCTAAGCTCATTATTCATTATGCAAGCTACTGCCAGACCCCTGCCAATCCCACTCCCCCCCACGTCCACGCCCACTTTCCCGCAGGACATTTGGTGACACCAGCTGCACATTCGTTGGAAATCATTTACTTACCACCGGAATTCTTGCGCGCCATATCCTCGGCACTGGAGGTCTTGCGCTGATCAATACGCAAATTGGGTATATTGAATGGCGGCGCATTCATGTTATCCGTGGAGAACTGATGCCGCAACGTGCGATGCCGCTCCGGCGACGCCATCGACAGATTGTCCAGCTTCAATTTGTTGCGCTGCTGCCGATCGATGGCCTCCAGCATCTGCTGCAGCACCTGAAACGACATACCACAAGCGGAAAATGTTTTGCAATTTACCGTAGCATATTCTGCGGTCGGCCGATCGGCCCATCGGCCCATCGTCATACCTCAAGCAAATAGCAATATTGCTCGAAATTGAGCGACGGATTGACAGTGTGCGGTATCAGCAGCGGCAGCACATTGGTGGCCATCGTCTCCACGGTTAAGCCATAGGATTTGTCGGCAAACATCTTGTGGTAGATGCCTGTAAAATGGTATGCCATATCATTAATACTAAGCAACTGTCATGTTATTATTGTCAGCGTAATTCTAATCAAAGACAAACAAAAGTACACACACATACATATATAATAAGCCAAATTTACAGTGGCAGCAACTGCTTGGGCAAGATGTAAGATATTCATGCCACAAGAGCGTACTCAATTAATGCTAATGGGAATCAATTGAAATATATTACATGATTATGATGAGATAGAATCATGTCATAAACAATGTTACAATGTTATGTTATACAAGTATAGTTGAGAGTGGAGTACAGAATATTAGAATATATTATAAGGTCAGTTGTCGAAATAAAATCCCTTGAATTGGCTTTAGAATTGTGGGCTAAGATGATAGGAATTTATGTTAGCCTCATATAGACCTGTGTAGCAGCTCTTCTGAGCAGAAAACTCAATATAGACTGCATAGACTGCATAAAAGCAATTAAACTTGGTTAACAGAGTGTGTCCCTAACCAAGCCATCCACACAGTGGATTTTTAAAGTAATTTTAGCCATTTCAGATTGCTTAACCGCAAGCCGTTGCCCATTCGCACAGTTGGCAGAGATTCAATTTTATGGTATTTAATTAGTTTTTATTGGCACAATGGCAAAGCTCGTTGATTGTATGTTCGTATGTCTGACTCGCTCCCTCATTCACTATCTCTCTCTCTCTCTCTCACTCTGTCTGTGTTTGTAAAATTCTATTAACTTTTTGTGTGCAGTTAGTATCAATTGAATTTATCTTAGGGCACGTTTTTTTTTTTTTTTTGTACTTACGCACAGTCCGCATGATAATATCTGGATCGGGTATGCGCACGTTGGCCAGCAGGGGCAGCACCTCCTCCATGACCTGCCGAGTTGTTGTTAGTCCAGCTTAAGGCTTAGCTTAGTGGCTAATACGCACCTGAGCCCGCTCCATGCGATCCATGACACGCTCAATGCATATCAGCACATTCTGCACAATCTTGGGGTCCGTTATGTTCTTCTCGAACACCATCTTCACCTTGGGCAAGACCATGCGGCGTATGGAGAGCTCGGCGATGCTATCGAATACGTTGCCCACAGCCACCACGGCTGCACTCTGTGCGAAATAGAAAACGTTGTTTAGAGGGGGGTGAGGAGGGAATTGGCTAAAATCTATAGTACACAAATTGGGGAAATTCTTGTTCGATTTAAGTACTGTCTGGCATGCCGCAGAAGTGGTTTCCATTTCAATTTACAAACGACTTTAAATGCTCGAGTTTCGAGTGCCCGGCCTGGGTCTGGGCTGGCCTTGTCTTTAGTGCTCGGAGGTGCTCAGGCGCAAAAGGTAAAATTACTTTCGTTGGCAATAAATTTGAAGTGGCAACCGAGCTGCTTAGAAGAGGAAGAGCTATCTCTGTGCCGCAGTTAATTAAGAAATTTCTGCTGTAATTACGCAATCAACGCTAAGGCAAATGCCAACTCTGTTGACTTGTCAACCCCTTCTACACCTCCCACCCCGACTCACACTCTCTCACTCACTCTGTGTGTGACTGGCTCCTGCTCGAACTAATTTGCATATCTATAGCGGTGGCAGGTGAATCGGAGGCAACGTCTGCGGATTGTGCTTACCTGCACTTGTATTGTGGATCCGTCAAATGAAAAGAATAGCATCGGCATTATATCTGTGGTGACATCCTCCGGTTTCGTCTTCTCAATTATCAAGTGCAAGTTCTCGAGTATCGTGACGCTGGCCTGAATGGATTTTGGCGTATTGTAGACAATCCTATTTATAGCCAGACAAAGCAAACACACAAATCATTGTATACTCATCTCAATACAACGTACATATATCTTCTTAATCTGATGGGGCACAAAAGTTTGCCGACTGTTTCATTTAATATTTGTATAAAAAATGAACCCAAATAAATGCTTCATTATTGTTGCACACTAGCTGGACCTTTGCTTGATCCTTAAGTGTGTGTGTGAGTGCGTGTGTGTGTGTGTGGGTGAAAAGTTGTTATTTGCAACTTTTTTGGCAGTGTCAATAAGCGTCTTACAACAGTCGAAAAACAACTTTGTTTGCCCATCGCCTTAGGCAAATGTTTGAGTGGGCCGAGGGCCGTTTGGCGTGTTTTAAGTGTTGGTGCATATATGTAAAATGATTTTGCGTGACTAAATATCGAATAGACAGCTTCACTCATACAGGATTGGCTGACTAATAAGCAGAATGCCTGACTAGCTTCAACTCCATGACCTAGTTGAGTGACTAACTGTTACCTTGTTTAGCTGACTGAATGACTGCCTGATGTGCACTGTGCGGCTCACATGCTAACTTAGCTTAACTTGTTAGTGAAGCTTAACTTTAACAAGTCGAACAGCAAGATCTCGTCTTCAAAATCCGTTTCACTCTATTTGCCTTTCCAATTTATATTTTAGCGCCATCCACTTCAACTTTCTCGACAACATCTCGCACTGCCCAGCAGCAGCAGCAGCAGCAGCAGGAGCAGGAGCAGCAGCAGATGTGCTCATGCGGTTTACTAATTTATGTATGCCGCGCCAGCGGCGTTGAGGGCACAAAAGGTGCGCATTGTCCTGACATAGTTGGCCCCGACACAAAACTTTGCGTGGCAGAAACTTTAACTACAACTTGTGGTCTATAAATTACAATATGAGTCGTCCGCTTGTCCATACGATGTGTCGTGTCTATCGCTCTCTCTCTCTCTCTCTCTGCAAGTGGGCGCGTGCAATAAAACGCCGTGAAAATTAAATAAAAAGTGTCACAAAAGTTTTTCAATTGTTCAGCAGCGAGACAAAAGCCGAACTCCATTGTTTGGCTGCCCAGCAGCTATCGATGGTGGCCACAGCAGCAGCCACAGCTTACAGTGGAGCCACAGCTCTGCAGCACACAAACAATAACAGAAGGTCAGCGCAACTTTACAGTTAAATGGTAGGCGGTAAGCCTTCGCCTAAGTAGTACAGGCGAGTCTAAAAATATGCATGAGTGAGTGTATATTTATAGCTGTGTGTGCGTGTGGATGTGTGGGCGCCTAATGAGCACGTGGCACTCACTTCATTGTGGACGACATTAGGGCATCGTACTCGGCGTGCGTCGCCTCCTGGACGAAGAGCATGACGGGCTGCAGAACAGCAGCGAGCACCTCGCCATTGTTTATCTCCGACTTGAGCATGGGCCAGAGGTTCTGCCACCAAAGTTTCTGCAAAGAGAAATAGAGAGAAAACAATAAGCAATCGCTACAACTACGACTAGCCACTAGCAACTGGTCGATGGCTTCTCAATTGCCTCTGCTGCTGCCACAAAAGGGAGACAGATAGATAGACAAAGGGATCGCTGGCTCGTTCGGGTGACAGTTTTGCAGCTGTCATAAAAGCGCTCGTAATTTGCGAATTGTTGCTGCTGCTATTGCTCGTAAAGCGCTCAACTTGTCGCTATAAATGATGAATGCATTCACGGACAGTGCAGACAGCGAGCTGTCACCAGTCAGCAGACAGCAGACAGCAGTCAGCAGTCAGCACAAAATGGCTGACGCGTCCGCAAGCTGGCCAACATCCGTTTCCGCTTCCGTTTCGTAGCGCAGGCTGCTTTCTTTTTTGGCACAATTTATGGGTACTTACGCGCGGTATCAGCGGCATGGCCTCTATCAAGGTGGTCTTGTAGAACTGTGACTTCTGCTGCGTGTCCTTCATGTTGACCACGTCCAGGAATTTCAGCGCATTTATTGCCGGATCGCTGCCAACAAGAAAAGCCCATACAAATTAAATACGGAATGTGGCAAATTTTATTAGCACTCGCTCAACTTTTATTGGAGCCCAACTGAACGAATGTACTGCCAGTCTATATAGATACCCTGCCTATACACTGTAACTATTGCAGCAGCTGCAAGACTTTTTTCGTATTCCGCACAAATATTATCAAAGAATTTAGTTTTTTTAATTTCGCAAATTCCTAGTATTTGACAGTTAAATAAAAAAAACCGTGCAATTGTTTGGCATTTTATTTCTTTGCGGTCAACTTATTTCCAGTTTAATCCCTCGCACATTTGTGGTTTATGAACACTCACACACACATATATATATACATGTATAAATAAATAACTATACAGCGTTTATCTGTTTATCTATGCTGGAATACAGAGAGCTTTAGTTGTTGCCTGTGCAAAAGTTTTGCCTCCGCTGAAGTGTGAAATATTTATCTGAAACGTTTTCATGGTGGCCTAAAACTAATTGGCCAAAGTGTAATTAGCAAAAGATTAGCAAAATACAATTGCAATTTTTGCACTTATATTGCGATCAGCCAGCATTAGTTCGCAGCGCTGAGGCGTGGCCGTTGCGGGTAATTGTATAATGGCCATAAAAGTCAAAACCAGTTAAATTATGTACACTGGCAATCGCAATGAGAAACTTGCGGCATGCGCTTGGCTAAGTAGGAGTGCGGCCTTAAATCACATTGCGTATGCGCCCCGTTGCACACGAAGCGCCATTAAAAGAATTGCCCACTGCCCGCTGTCCGCCTGGCTGCCCAGCTGATTAGCCATGGGCCACATAATCAGCATAAAGACTCTCCTGCTGCGGCTGCCGCTGCTGCTGCTGCTGCTGGCTTAGCCCACGCAGACAGCCCTGGCAAACTGGTTGTCGCGTCCCACTTGAGTTATTTGCAAACGCAGCTAAAAAAACGAAGAATACGCTGATAACATATAAATGAACTTCAAAGTGCCGCCAACGAGCGACTAACTGACTGCCAACGCAGCACACTGACAGACACTGATGGGCGGCAATGGGGCGTGCACCACTCATTTTTGCCAAGCAACCGATTTTGCCAGCCCAGCAGCCGTCGCAACAGCCGTGACTTTCAGTTTATCTAAACACAGCACAGTGGTGCAAACTATATGAATTTCTGAAGAATATTAGAACTACGAATGAATACCCTTATAAACCCTTGAGCCTTTATAACATGGTCACAAAACATTCCATACTCAACAGTTATCAACTCCCCCAACTATCGTCCATTTACTTATTTCTGCTTGGCTCTCACACATCTCTGGCTTGACCCACTGTGGTTTAATCTGCGAGTTTGTTCTCGGCTGCCGCGTTTTTCGCTCAGGGCAGGTGCGCGGCCCTTGGCTGTCTGCCTAGCAGCTGCTGTCGTCATAAATCCAAAGGAGGTTAGAGCGGGGCGAGTGCGGCGACTCCTACGCTTGCCACTACTCACAATCAGCTCAAGAGATTCGCATTGTGTCTTTCAAGCCTGATTACCGTTTTCATTTACCAAACAGACGTAATTAAGGTATATGTGTGTGTATATATCCCCCTCTCTCTCTCTGTGTGTGTGTGTTCCTTGATGAGACCTTGGTGTGGTAAAAGCAAAAGCTTCAATTCAATTTTTGCTACATGTACAAATTGGCTTAGAGATTGCGTGTCTTGTTTACGTTTGCATGTGTGTGCGTGTTTGTGTATCTATGTGTGTGTGTGTGAGTGGCTGTTTTTAACAGGTGTCAATTTCATTTGAAACTCAAACAAAAAACTTTTGCTAAAACTGCGCAAATTGCTGTCGCTTTCTCTTTTTCTTTTGCTTGCTCTGCGTTTAGTTAAAAGTTAATTAATTTGCTGAAGAGGCAACAGTATTGAGTGCTGGAGACCCGAAGCGCTGGGAATGGGTTGCTAATTTAGCTAGTTGTCTACTCACATAAAGTATTTGATCAGCTGCAGCAGCTGAGCGGTGGGTCGCGCTGTCGGATCCCGGCTGGCCATGCGAGATGTCGCCTCCTGTAGAGCGATGGGCAGACGCGGCATTAGCTTGTGCACATTGTCATCCAGCTGGAAGCAGAATGGAGCAAGGTGTATGATAAATGACAAGTCCAGACAGATGACCAAATAGCAAAAACAAAAACAATATCAAACAGAAAAGGGAAGGTACATATATATAATAATACTGTTTGGCCGCAACTTGAAGTCTGACTGACTGGGGCCAAAACTTTTAATGACATGGCCCGAGGCAGCTGCAGCATCAGCATCAGCATCAGCAGCAGCAGCAGCATCAGCATCAGCTTCAGCTTCAGCACCTGGCTGAACAATTAGAGTTTCAAGTGGACTTTTGATTACATTTGCATTTGACAAAGCGCCGAATCTAATTACGGCTGGCAAACACAAGCGGCGCAAAACTTTTGCCAGCCACAGCAATTGCCACTTGGCTTCAGATCTGGCCGCGGGCAGCGGCAGCAAATTAATTTGGCCTGAGCGCGCCCAGTGGAAGCTGAGCGAATGAATCACTCTCTTACCGTTTCCAGTTGCTTGGCATAGTTGGATGTAGAGTTGCCCGCCTGTATGAGTGGCCGTCCATTGTTGTACACCGCACAGATGACCATGCCCAGCGAGAACATGTCGCTCAGCAGGCTGCACTTCGAGCTGGTCTGCGTTTCGGGTGCTAAACGAAAGAGAGAGAGAGAGAAAGAGATGGAGTTAGAGAGTGACGAAAGGATTTGTTGCAGCTTTGAAGTGGCCACGTTTTGTTTACCCATAAAGTCGAGATTGGGCTGGGCCATCTTTGATACCCTGTTGCTCCACGGCGGGCAAGGAATTGAGCTATTCAAATCAGTCTCATTCATTCTTTCTGCAAGGCAAGAATAACATATCAACAATGGGCATTATGAATACAAATCGAGTGGCCAGAGTGGCATTCGTTTCGATTGGAATGTGCTGCGAAACTCACCCACATACTCCATGCCCGCCAGCTTCCAGATGCCCCGCTTGGTTATTAGTATAGAGGATGGACACACATTTCGATGAATTACGTGACCGGAATAGTGCAAATAGGACAAAGCCTCTGTTAGCTGCAAACGAGAAGCCACAGTGAAACACTCTCTTATAGAGTCAACTGCACACAAACACACACACACATGCACGTTGGCATTGCTAGTTGTTTGGTTTACCTGCAAGAATCCATATTTCAGCTCCATATCCAAGAAATTGTATTCCTTTGCATGCGCCGGCCGTTGCGGCTGGGCCCCAGCAGCTGGCTGTGCCTGCGCCGGCCCGCCACCTGCTGCGGGTGCCACGCTGGCATTCTCGTACGTTTTCGACTCCTGCAAGACAGCGCGGCGCATAAGAATTGCCAGACACGTGAGCTCAGTCCACCCGAAAAATAAAATCACCAAAGACAAAAAACAAGAATGGAGCAAGAAAGCTCTGTTTGCATTTTATGGCAATTGCTTTTTCAATTTTTCTCGCATTTTTCTTTTCACTTTGCTCGCCGCCTCCCAGCGGGAAAACTAACTATGTCATGAAGCCATAAACTTTGCAGACAATAAAGACATTAAGGAGTAGCAAAAACAAAAACCAAAACCCAAAAAAAAAAAACGTCTAGTATATCTACTCTGACTGCCGAACAGAGACTAAATAAAGAATTTGTGCTGAGTTCTAATTTCAATAGACATGGCTTTAAAAGGTCGCCTCGTGCTCTCCTTTGTTCTCCGTTTGCCATGCTCCACAAGATCGTTCAGAGTCGCAGAGTACAAACAGTTCCATAAACTGTAACTTTTCTGCTTTCCTTTCATTATTCCAGCACATATTGTTTATTCTGTAAAACAATTTGGCTTTGTACCCATGCAATTTTCAATGTAATTTAACTCGATTCGAATTTTGTTTCTCTTTCGATTGTTGTTGCCCTTGCCGTGTGCACCTCAATAAACTAAAATATTGTCTGGAGCTTTGTTGGCTTCTTCCAGCTAAAAACAAAGCACTTTACTCTTGCTACCACCTGTGTGTGTGAGTGTGTATTTGGGTGTGGGTGTGGTTGTGTTTGTGTGTGTGTATCAATTTCTGAACTACGCTAGCGAAACGAATCATTTTATTGACTCAATCTCCACAGCGTAAACTTTGCTAGCACGCACTGTAATTCGATTTAGTTGTATTGGTGACTTAGTATATATGTATGTGTGTGTGTGTGTGTGTATTGGGTGTGTTATGCATAGCTCACATTGCTGTGCTGCCTTGGCACTTGAACCAAAAGCCAAACTATGCAGTTGACTGGCTGCCATACGAAACTTTAAACGTACGCAAAAAGAACAACAACAACAAACTTGTTGCTACCAACAACAGCAACAACAACAACAAGCATTGATTGAAGCAGCTGGCAGTAGGCAGTAAAAGGCAGAGAGCCCAAAACACAATGGAGCAGCGGGCGACAACGCAAATTGCATATCCTGTTGGCCAGCTACCGAAAAGAGAGAGCGCCTAACCCTGCCTCACCTGACCGAACTTCACTGAATCGAACTGAAAACTGTGAACCGAACCAAAAATGAAACCAAAAAAAAAGAAAAGCCAAAAAAAAAAAAAGAAGAGAAAAACCAACTCACATGAAAGGCCAGCACATTTGAAAGGCTGGCGAAAATGGGCTCAGCAGCAAAGGCCAGCGTGTCCGCACTTTCCTCTACAGTGTGATAGATTTGAAGTATCTGGGGAAAAGAGAGTTTAATGTGAGATACATAGGAGAGACAGATAGGCAGGTTGGGGTGGCTTAAATGGCACAAGTTTGAATATCTTTAAGCTGTGACTAATGAGAGTGACTTTAATATGATATATAAACTACGTTTATTAGCTTTAATTATCAAATTTACTGTTGAGTCTGTTTAGCTGTCTATACTGTCTATACAATTCCAAATTGGTCTATCCTCACATTTCAATTTCAAATACATGAAGTTCTACTATTCAAGTCCATCTCCACAGATCTGTCTCGATTTACAATAGCTCATCAGCACACAGCTGCTCAATGAGTGTTTCCCGTAGTCCCTCAACCTCTACTAGAGTCCTTTTACTTGTTTTCTGATGCCTTGTAATTTATGAGCTGCAAATATTTTGCCAAATTCCTCGCACATATTTTGGATAGTTTCCTTAAACTGAATAAAAGCTTTGGCCATACCAATTCTTAGTGAGGAAAGTTAAATATATTTAGCTATTTACTCGAAGGAAGTTACATTAATAATCTAAATGAAGGGCATACTCACCCGGGGATGACGAAAGCGTTCCAATGTCTTTACCGAGCTTTTTAGCAGCTCTGTAATGGTCTCCTTGCGACGCGGCTTGTGCAGTTTCTCTGCCACTTTTTTCTCAAATATAAAAATCGAACATTCCTACACAGACAGAGACAGATGAAGAGAGACAGAGAGAGAGAGAGAGAGAAAGTGAGATAGATGGTGTGAGAGCTGGCAGTCAGCTTCGCTACAGTTTTTTGTTTGAAGCGCTCACCTTGTTGTCACTCTTGCGATATCCATCGTGTATGCGCCAGACGAGCTCTGGGCCGGCACAGGCCACCGGCTTGCCAATCTCGAAGTACTGCGTAATGGGATTGCCATCGGCGACATTCTGCACGGATGTGGAGGCCGCCACGTTGGCGCTTTTGAACTTGGCGAACATTGTGCCAGCGGGCATACCATCGATTAGCTTTGAGAATACATTCGAGAAGCTGCCCTGTCGCTTGCAATGTGGCACACTTGTATTGCTGCTGCCGCCTATTGTTGGCGCTGAGCCACCAGCTCCGCCGCCCGCACTAGCCGCAACGCCCGACTCGTTACCCGATGATGCGCCACTGATGGACAAACGTTCGCGCAGAGTTATTCCCAAGCTGCTGACTGTTGTGACTGGCACATTGACTGATCCGAGTGAGCTTCTATCCTGCGGTGCCGCTCTACTGGCCGCACCGGCCGCTCCACTGACACCGACACCGACACCTGAGCCGCCAGCAACACCTGCACCAGCAGCTACACCTGCACCAGCACCTGCACTCGCTCCAACGCCATTAAATGTGTCGCATTTCGCAGTTGACGCGTTGTCTCCGTATCCATTCACATCGCCAGCGAGAAGTGCTGCGCCGCCGCCGCTCGAATACTTGCGCGTGTGCGCTCCTAGTTGGCTCTGACTGAGCTCGAGTATTGTGCTGGCGCTGCGATTACGCGCTCCTGCCGCATTGCCCAAGCCCGCGCCCACTCCCCCACCGCCGGTTCTGGCTGGTGAACCCGCTGCCACCGCTGCCGCTGCCGCTGCCACTGCACCACCGCCGGGCGTTATTCCAACAGCGCTGCCACTGCGACCGCGTTGCACCTCCTCGACACTATCCAAACGTGAAAAAATTCTGGCCGCCGTTGTTGCCGTGTTGCTGCTGCCCGCACTATGCACCGCCAGCCAACTATGAGCACTTCCGCTTCCGGATCCAATGCCCCAAACAGCCAGCTGTGTTATAACCAAAGCTCAAGCCGCCGTCACCGCTCTACTGCTACCGATGTGCTGCAAATAAAGAGAGTGGGAGAAACGCAAAATACGCTTTTAATTGCGGTCACTTCACATGCCCCACAATTTCCACGCACCACGCGCCCAGCGGCAAACACAAAGCACCGCTGGGCCAGCGACGCGCGCTCACCCGTCAGCGCAGCTGCTCGACAACCAATTGAAATACCCTGTTGCATTTGTATACAGCCGGGTATATTATTAAATCAACTCATAGCAATGTAAATATCGTTGTAAAATATTTAGTTTAAGCCTTTGCCAGCACTCAAATGCGAGCGATAGCTGTGCTATCGATACTTTTGCTTAAGCGATATCGATATTCGTTTCAATTTAAATGAAGCCAAGTTTTAGCATTTAGTTTACCCTGTATTTTGACCTATATTAAGTGCGACTTACTTTAATATTCCCCTTTATGGTAATGAATCTTTTTAAATGTGGGCCTTTCCTTAAATATATGCGCCAGGTATTTGATAGGCCTCGCCGCGGCTGTTTTGCAGCACTGGCCACTTTATTTTGCACTGGCAATTAATACGCTTATTGCCGGTCTGACTTTTATCTTACATTTATTTTCGTTTTTCATCTCATTCTTCCGCCAGCTTCACACAAAACTGCACAATTAAAAAGTTAAATGAGCTCTGAGCGCCATTCAAATTGAGTGTCAGAGTCCGTGTGGGTCTGCGCCTCTCTGTGAGTGTGTGTGTGTGTGTGTTGTGCTAGCATGTGTGCCAGTGTGTGTGTGTGTGTGTGTTCATAATTTTATGAAAATATGCTTAAGCTCATTATATCTTTATTAATTGCTTTAAAAGTAAAAATTATGATATATATGAGCGTGTGTGTGTGTGTGTGTATTTATTTTCATATGTACTTAACGCGTTTGCATTCCCATTTTCCAATTGGCCAAATTGAAATTAAATGCCATGCAATGTGTCAAAAGTTGCTCACTGTAAATACGTGAGGTAGTTTACTTTTTGCAGTCACTGTGCAAACACTCTGCGCCCTCTGTGCACACGTTCGTATTTGCTCCGAGTAGTTGAGCAGCTGAGCATCCGTCAGAGCGTCTGAGCTCCTATGATGGCCACAAATTGACTTGGGAAGACTTTGGCAATGGCAAAAGCAAGTGCCAGCTGGCTGGGAGCAGAGAGCAGAGAGCAGAGGGCACAGAGCAAAGACCAGGGGTGGCAGAGAGCAGAGGGCCACAACATAGCCAAAATAAATTTCAGAGCGTACGTTAAACTATTTAGTACAAATACTTGGTGCTTTTGCTTCTGGCCATTGCGTTTCATTTGTACTTCATGGCCAAATAAATAAAATATGAGACAGCCGCTCGCTCAGAGAAGCGCCTAAAAGCATTCACGGGGGCTGACACACAGACGTAGAGACTAGGCTCGAGAGGATGCGGAAAAGAGACAGACGGCTGCATCCGAGACAAGTTACTAGGTCAGCAGATGAAGCTTTAAGCCGGATCCCATCCAATGAGCATAAGTTGAATTTGGCTTAAAAATTTATAGGCCATAAGCGAGTGTTGAACTTCAAACGGTGAATCAATAAAGCCACAACGTGAATTCACGTTGATTACATCTGCATAGGGTTTTGCTCAGTCGGTAAGCCGGAAAACCAATTGGGTTTTTACATAAAAGCCCCGCAAATGCCAACTAAGTCCATAGAAATTTAAATTTTATTATTAATTTTATGATAACTTAGCTTCCAGCTAAACCGAAATGTATATCAGCTTTTATGAAGATAAATTGCAAAGTGTGTGGGATGGGGAGGAGGAAATGGACAGACATAATAAGTCAGAGGGGAAGAGAACTTACAGACAGTGAATGAGAGTGAGCAGGAAAACGCAGAGTAGGAGATAAAACTGAGAGTGAGACAGAGTGGGAAAGTTAATGCTGAGAGAGAGAGAGAGAGAGACAGAGCGAGTGAGTAGATACGAGAAATAGAGCGAGACAGAATAAAGTTATCTGGTAGAGAAAAATAGAGAGACGTATTAATGCAGAATGCCTTGCTGCAAAGGAACTTGAATTAAATATATATTCATATATTATATTTATAAAAGATATCAAACTCTCTTCCAAAAATCTCAGATTGTATGCACTGACCTTTTATTTGGTTATCCCAATTAACTAGCTGGAAAGCTCGGCTCATGCGTTACGTCCCGAATGGCAACAAGCTCTAATGGTCAGTCCGTAATTTACTTTTAAAACGCACCGTAACGAACTGGCAACAGTTAAACTCCAGCAAGAGTAATCAAAGGTTATAGTGGAAGCATGACCTTGAAAACAAAGCAAATTTTCACGAGTTTGTTTTCTGCTTTGTAGGATTCAAATGCATGTATACATATACAATATATATATAAGCATTCGGCAGTAAAACTTTTGGCACATTTTCCACATGAATTTGAGCACAGACTGGCGCGTCCAATTAAAATTCATGAACTGAAGAAAAGACCGAGGAGGCTGATAAACAATGAAAATCGAGTCGTTTGTTTGGGCCAGCGTGGCACAGTGAAAAATTAACGCTCCCATTGCGTGTTCAGCCATCGGAGATGGTCTTTAATCAGTGCAGAAATTGTTTACACAGGCCCACAGCTGCACGGCGTCGCCATTATCATTATGATGATAAATGGCAATGAATATCAATGCCGAAATTAGCGTAAATTCAAACTAAAACTCGGATTTGAATTTAAATTTGGTAAATGCGAGCACGCAACAAATCGAAGCGGCTCAAAAGGAGAGAAAAGGCGAACCCGAAATGTGAAATGTGAAATGCGAAATGCGAAACAGCGACGGGCAGGTAACCAAGGTGAGCCACAGAGGAGGACACACACAGTGGGTCACTTTTATTGATTTCCACACACACACACCCACACCCACCCACACAGAGGCACACAGCAGCCCAAAATTAAATGATGAAAGCAAAATGTTAACAAAACTGAGCGAACGAACGTGAAAGGCACAAAGCGCGAAAATTATTTTCGTTTTTATTGTGTGCGTTGCCATTGTAGCCGTTGTTGTTGTTGTTGTTATTGTTGTTTGTATATTTGACAATTTGGCATATATAAATACGTGAGTACACACATTTACACACACTTAAGCACACACACACACAGGCTGCCCTATATAGTATATGCCTAATATTGTGTGTATCTAATGCTTTGTGAGTTTAATATTTTTAGCCTAAAGCTAAACGAAGATAGGCAGCAGCAAAGGCAACAACAACAATGTGTAACAAACGTTGCTTAGCGCTAACTGAAGACAAACAGAGCAACACACACAGATACAAACGCACACACATGTAGGCACAGAAAGCACACACAAGTCCAAAATAAACGTAGACTCTGACGAGCAACGGCACACTGATGTCTCAATTAAAAAAAAAGTGATGGTCCTTTTAGACACACATACACATACACACACATGCACTCACACTCTGGCACACACTCAACACAACCACACAAACCGTTAAAAACAACAGCCATAGTTGTGCGAGCCAGTCTGGCACATATTTTGTTTGCTTTTGCCTCATTTGTTGTGCGCCTTGGCAAAAAGGACAAAGGCAGCGCCTGATAAACGGTCGCCACTGTCAGTCGTGCGCTCTTCTTCTTACCCACACACACACACACATACACATATATCAGCCAGTTGTGGAGATTATAGACATATGCGATAGCTATAGCAACAGCCTTTGTCCTACGTAGCTTCGGCTCTGTTGCTGTGCAAAATAAAATATTCTTGGCAAAACAGCTTTAAAAATTCCCTTGAATTGCCTTGAATCAACTCAAAAGCCGTGAATTATTAAACAATATCTCTTACTTAAAGCATAAGCGATCCTAGTAGATCTGCTAGTGAATATTCTTACAGCTTTGTTATCTTAGCATCAGCCTGAAGCTCTTAGCTTATTATTGGCTTTGCATTCCTTCCCTCTTCTATCTGCCATCTTCTGTCTGCTGTCTACCAACTCTCATCGACTTCTCCCGTCTGTCTTCTCTATTTGCTTATCTGTGATATCTCGTGTCTGTCTTCTCTCTGCTCTTCTTCACTTTTTCGTCTCTTCTCATATTTATTCTTCGTTGTCTCCTCTCTCTTTTCCCATATATTCCCTATATTCCATAGAGAACAAGCTTCAATATGTTCCTCTTACTCAAAAGTGCTTTAATGTCTGATTAAATCAGCTGAAAGTACATAAATAAATTTAGCCCCTAGTCAAAGGACGCCCCCACTCGCAAGCAGAGCGAACGGTGTCTGTATATACACATATGTGACTTTCATATACGTTTAACGACCGCAATAAGCAGTCATAAGCATAACAAATGCACAAATGGGACAGACTAGTACTCTTCCATGTGGGGGGGGGGGGGGGGACCGGAGCCAAGGAGCTCAGTTCGTTTGATTCTGCGACCGAGAACTGTCATCGGGCATTACGTATACGCAGCATAGGTCAAAGCCGGGCTGCTGCATTGTTAATTATCTCCACTCGAGAGCGACTCGCCCTAGTTGCCCATTGTCAAATGGAGCTCAACGTATTGTCGTCTCTCTTGCTTGCTGGCTTGCTTGCCTTCGGCTTGCGTAATATAATACAATTGATAAGGGTTCCACTTCGAACGCTTGTCAGCCATGAGCAGCCGGCAGTCGGACATTTGGACATTTGGACATTTAGACGTTGGGGCCACACATCCCTTGCAAACGGTATATGGATAGTTGGGTAGCTGTATCATGGCGAAGACAGCGACGCGGCTGCGGTGTGGCAAGCCTGGCTAACTCATTGTGACAGCGGCAAGTGAGCGTACATTTGCATATTACGCATACGCCACGTGAAACGTGCCGCAACGCGCATTGACGCGATGTTGTGGGTGCGGCTATGAATGCGGGTGGCGCTTTATCTGTTGCTGATGTTGCTGGGTGGCTGGGTGCTTGGGGCAAGCCTTTGACCTGACTGCGCCACTGCCGGCATTACGGCTGCTTAATTAAATCTTTTGCGTAATTTGTTTAGTAATTCCCCGTAGTATGCACTTGAAAATTGAATGGCATTCGCTTTGTGTGTGCCGCACACAGTTAATCTATACAGATATATGTAAATGTGTATGTGTGTGTGTGTGTGTGTGTGTGTTCGTTTGTGTGCTATGCAAAACCTGCTCGAGCATTTAGTCAAGTGTTGCAGACGGGCTGCCATAATTGAATTGCTTTTAACTGCAGGCAGAAAACAACAACAGCAACAACAACAACAAGAGCAGCAGCAGCAGCCGCAGCGAACAGCCAGCAGCAACAATCGTGGCATAATTATAGGCTCTGAATTAGTTGTTGTTGCGCGCCAAATAAATGAAATTAGGCAGAACAAAGCAGAGCTTAAAACAAAGCTAATTAAGCAGCCACATGCAGCCATTTGTGGCGTAAACTCACGCAAAACTAATCCTAAAACTAAACTAAAAACAAAACACACACACACATACTTTCCCGTTGACCATCTCAGCTTAAGTATTGGCCAACAGTTGGCTGCGTTTCTTGTTTATTGCTTGTTGCTCTTCCGCGTGCGTGGCCACAATCTGTTTAGCTGTAAGGCTTAATTGCCAGGCAATATGCGTCAACTTCCATTCCGTGCGCTTCAGTAGCTCACAGTGGCACACTGAGTCGATGGCTCGCTGGCTCGGTGGCTCAGTGGCTCAATGTCTTAATATGTTTGCTTGCCAGTGCCCGTGCCTGTGTAATCAGTTTTCAATAAGTGCTCCGCTTCTTAGCTCAGCTCTCTGGGTATTTAGCAGCTTTAACAGCAACTCAATAGCATGACACAGGTCATGCCCCAATCCTCGCCTGCGCCCACGCCTCTTGCGTGGCTGCTGAGGTGCGTCGTCATGCTTAAGTCGGCTCCTGCTGCCGCTGCTGCTGCCGCTGCTGTTCTTGCTCACGTTGTTGTTTTCCTGATTCCTCAAAGACTGTCATGCATAAAATTTAATTTAATTGGTTATTAGTGCACACGCTATATGAATTTCAATTTAGCCAGGCATATGGCGTAAATGATATTAATTATCGCAGCACTAAACACATCTTGGCTTTTTCTTAAGATATTAAAGTCAACATTTAATATTTTCTGCAGAATTGCTTAATTTGCTTGCTTTGCCACAATTAAATATTTATTAGACATTAATTAGTTATTTCAAGAAATTCGTATTAAATCCAAGCCGAATATATCAAAAAATCGCATACAGTTGGCCTTCACTAGTGTTGCATAACTATCGATAGACGACACACTTAAACAGCTTAAGGCGATTACAGCGTACTTATCGATAGCTTTTAATTTAAATTTGAATTGTGATGCTTCTATCTATTCATTAACATATGAATTTATGATTTTTAATATCCCATTAAGCGCTTTAGATTATTTGATAAACAACAACTTTCATTATTCCTGGCTTGTAATTTCATTCTGAATTATCATAATTTCAAAAATTACATTTACAACGAAATTTTGCGCTCTTCTTCCACTCAAGTTTAAACACTTTTTAAACCTTTTGTGCCCGCAATTCAATGCAAGCTAAAAATAAACTGATTTAATTAAATTTGCACCACAAATGATGCTGTCATATTTATAATTCAACAGAGTGGTCTCACTTCGCTTTGTGGCGTTTCCATTGAAATTTCGTTGGGCGAAATTCAATTTTATGCTGTGCGGCGCCGCGAGAGAAAGAGACAAAATCAACAAATGCAAATTACTGCAGTTGCCTAATTGAACATGCCAAAAATGTGGCGAATGGACTGTTGCTATTGCTGTTGCAGTTGTTGTTGCTGCTGTTGCAACAACCAATCGTGCAACGCGACATTGAGCGCGTGTCAGCCGCTAATTGCGCGCTGTTGCCAACGTGATGGATATTCATTTACTGCATTTGTAGGTGGCTAACATATTGAAGCATTCTGGACAGTTGTAAAAAGTGGGACTACTGGGTGTGTCCATTGCGTGCAGCGTGAACATGTGAATATTAAATAGATTATGCCCCGAAACACAAAACATACGAAAATATGTGCCATCAAATTTTCAGTAACTTTTATTTGAAGGTCAAAATGCGTTACAGCGAATAGACTGCGTCTGTTTCGGAGCAATAAACAAACAAACAGACACACGAGCAAAGCGTATTTAATGTGAAAATATTTATACAAATTAGCCTGATTTCTTTGATATTTTATTATGTTAGTTAAACATTAAGACAGACTCTAATGAGCTGCTGCCAGACACAAGCCAACAAATGTCTGTTGCTTCTTGAAAAGCACATGCGGAGCAAAGTTCAAGTAAGAAAGTTGGAAGCATGCCATAACAACAACAACAACAACAAGACGAAGAACAACAACAACAATAGAGTTTGTCGTCTTGTTTGAGACTCAATTATATGCATAAATGTGCAATGCTATTAAGGCAACAGAGCATACAACCGCATATGCCACAATGGCAGCAAAGTCATTCACACACACACACACACACACACACACGCGCGCACGCATAAAGCCAAGTTGATTGTGTTGTTGGCTGTAAGTTTTGCCTGCCCTCAAAATGACTTAATGCTTAATGCCATTTAGGGCAGCAGAGGAAATTATTTTAAATTGCAGCCCCGGCGCGCACCCACACTCCAGACTGGTAGCGCTGGCTTTTGTTGCCTTGGCAAAGGGAATTACAAATTATGCCCTGACACAGCTCACATTTTGCTCGACTAAAAATAAAATATAATTTAGCGACACTCTAAAGCAGCAGCAACAGCTACTGGAAGACTTATTTAAAAACGCTTAAAAATTGGCAACATGTTCAAGTTTTCCTCTCTCTCTCTCTCTCACACACACACACTTTCCTTTTCATACTCTCTTCCCTACTTACATTTTATAACTTTTGATTCAGTGAGTGCTAAAGAAAGTTATAAGCACGCATTTGCATAAGTTTTGCGCAACAAAAAAAAAATAAAAATAAATAAAAATATATATTTATAAAAATAATAATGATGCAGAAGCAAACTGCATAAAAAATTAAAATAAGAAAAACTGTTTTCCTATATGAATATATATTATAAATACGTCTACTATATATATATATATAGATATATATATATATATATATAATATATTTGATGTTCCGCTGCTGGTCAAACGATGATAGCTGAGTGGAAAATGGGGTCAAGCGATTTTCCTACAATTTGTTTTCCTTTGTTATTATATTTATCGAGCTGCACTTGGAAAGCACTCTGACTTTGTTTGCTGCAAATCAAGCGAGCCAGCAGCACTGCATTCAATTTCATTTAAAATAGATTGCAACTTTGTCTTCAGCTGGAAATACAATAAAAATGATTGAAACTTCGCTCAACTATTTGCTAAACAATTGCGCAAATGTGCTTACACTTGGCAAACTATATGGCATTAAATGGTTATTTGCATGTATGTGTGTGCGTTTTTTGCTTGAATGGCGAACATGTTTTATTCATTCACTTATAATAATCAAATATTGATCAGCTTCCATCAACGGAATCAATTTGCTTCTTTACTATTTGCTCGAATATTCATGGAATTCCCACATAAAATCTCAGCATATTAAACATTTAACAACAATTAATTTGTGGAAACAGTGAATTTTAATTAAATTAAATCTCAGCTTGATACAAATTCATCATTTAATTAATTGCATCGATGCTTCATGGCTCACCTGCAACACTCGTCGTATACGTGATATTTGTGAGTTTAACAAAACCGTTTCGCCGCACTGCAAAGTAATAAAAAAGTACATTTATGTATACAAAAAAAATGCGAAAACAATATGCCATAAATCACAGGCGGACAAATTATATTATTTGACACATTTTTATTATGATTTTTATTTTTCGGCTGCAAAATCAATTTTTAGCACTTTAGAAGAGGCACATGGAATGTGAATGGCAGACATCTCGTCAACTGGCGCACTGAGTAAGTGTCTCTAAGTATCCATTGCTGCCATTATAATGGCCCACAAAGAAGGTAACAACAGCGACACTTTTACATTAATTAAACGCGTTTTTATATGCAGCTTACACACACACACACACGCACACGCACACGCACATGCATAGAAGATGTCAGTTATATATAAATATATGTGTATGCGTGTGTGTGTCTGTGTCTTATGTACCAGGCGTATACATCATACGTGCGTTTTATACCCCATATTAGTGTATACCTGTATGTTTTTGTTCGAAGTGTTCGGCGTGGTTTTTTACTTGTTAGACGCGTTTAGATTGCTCGCACGTTTGCACGCAGTGAAGTCCCCAAACAGACTGAGTCGAGACTCGAGTCTAGCACGGACGGAGACTCGCGACTCGTAATCGGCGGCGGCGTGCTCGACTCGACTCGACGGCGCGAAGCAACAGCTAACCAAATGTCCCAAAATGGAGCATAAGAATGCCCCAAACTGTTGCGCGAACTGGGGCCACTGCCATGGCCCAGGCCCGGCAGCGGGTGTACTAAAAATGCGTGAAGCGCATGCGCTGCGCAGGGGCAAGCACAAGACACTGGGGCAATAGGGGCCAAACAGCTGAGAAGCAACAGTTTGTTGTTTGGCGGGGCAAGGACGACTTGGCCAAGCCAGTCAGCCCATCAGCCCATCAGCCAGGCAGCCGGTTAGACAGAACTGGGTCTCTCAGTCAATGTCACAAATACACGAACGCACACACACACTCACACACTCAAGGGTATCACGAAGACAGCGTGCGAGTCCTTGAGCAGACTGATGTGACTTCTACGCTTGTTGCTTCGACTCTAGCTGAGCTTTGCTCCCACTTTTACGTCTAGTTGTACGCCTACCCCGACTCCTGCTCTCCTTGCTCGCAGAAAAATGGGCAATTTTGTCAAAGTGTTTGTCCTTGCCGTCGCTGTCTGCTGCAATTAGTATGCACAGCAATAACATTTGCGCCATTTTATTTGTACATTAAGCGGCACAGGTGACCTGTAAGTCAACGTTGCCTTCGCTGACGCCGTCTACGACGTGATGCTCATGCATCAATGCGTATTTAATTAGTTTTTGCCAGACAAGGGCTTGTGCCCAGTCAGCGTTTCATTTTATTGTCTGACACAAAGCACTCGATCGATAGGGTATATCGATTCGTTTCCATTGCCCATAGACTCTTTATATTGAGCGTTGATGCCATGCCAAACTGTACTCAGCTAATCAGCGAGCTACCAGAGTAATAAAACTTGCAATTTATGTTGAATTAACTAGTTCACAAATGAATAAATAAAGCTTGAAGAGTGAACGGGATTTGCATTTATTAGCGAGCTCATCTGAGCATATCCAATTGCTTTGCCAGCACCTCTAATTGCTGCTGACCCTCAGGGCGTCGTGTAACTGCAACCCACGAACTCTTAACTAGCTCATGGTTTAATAGCTCCCGCTGCCAAGGATGAGCTAAAAATATAGCGAAGGCTAAACGCCGAGTCATATCTCAGGCGTCAAGCGCAGCAGCACGGGCAGCTCCAGTTGCATCCGTGTTGCTGCACTGTATCCCGTTTCCTTATAAATACACCAGAAAACGTTTCAGCCAGACAGCAAGAAATGCACTTACGCAAAGAATGAAGGGAGGAGGAAAAAAAATGGTAACTGAGTTTTTGCCTGCTGCAAGGACTTTATTGTGTGAACTACAATTGCACAGTTGTAGGCAAATATGCACTTGGCTTTTGTTTAAATTTATGCCGGCAGTGGAATGGACTGGCAGCACCTTCATTAAAGCTGTAACACTTGCTTAAAACGTTTTCGCTTTCACATATTTGTAGTGCACTCAATTTAGCACCCTCACGCGAAATTGAATACATGCTGATGATGATGATGATGATGATGCAGATATGACCTTCATTATGCCCATGCACATCTCATTTGTCGCCAATCGCAGCAAGCGACAGCGGCAAATAAACATAAACAAAACACACATTTTCAAATGTCATTTTATTGAGCGTAAAATAACAATTTTTTTTCCTTTGTGGACCTTTAAGTGACGCTCGTTCCGTTTTTAGTGGCCACTGAATTGTTATGAATTTTTTATGCATTTCAAACAGAAATCAAAACCCGAAATGAAAGCGTTGAGTAAATATTTTGTGTACATTCCATCAGCAGGGGCCGGCAGGCAGCAGCAACAGCAAAAATCATTTCCGTTTCCGGTGCGCCTACGGAAAGCAGTCATGCCTAAAGTTTTACAACACAGTTGATTTGCTCGGCGCCCGCTCCAGCAGCAGCTCATGGCCCTTGGCCTACAATTTAATTGCAAATTGAGTGAGCAGCACTTGGCTAAGATTCTCAGCTGGTATTAGGCAAATCAAAACTTTGCCCAAGTCAAACACAAAAACTTTGGCCATTGTTGGCCAAAGAGTGAAGTTAATGTAAATATAGAGCCATAGTGCTACCCCAAAGTAGAGAGCACTTAGGCATAGTCCTCAATACTATTGCGTTTCATAATTGATCGAAAACAAAGCCAAACAGCAGCTGCAACAAGTTCGGAGACAAATTGCAAATTTTTGAACGACCCATTGTTGCATGGCATGTCTATGCCAGGCACTTGAGCGATTTATCAGATTTTGGACAAAGCTCAAATTGCGAATTAATTTCTGGTCCTCGCATGTCCAAATGCCCACATACATGCCCATACCCACGCACACACACGCACGCACACGAGCGCACAAGTCAAATTGGCCAAGTGTCCTGCCAGGCATTGTTTTCGGGCGTCCAATTAGCTTTTGGGAGATTCCATTGTACAACAACAACAAGCGCAACAACAAGTAGATCAAAACTTGACCATGACAATGTGCCACATGTGGCAGCACAGGGCGACAGAGGGAGCGAGTGGATGGCAAAGTCATTTTAGACTCGCATAGACAAAATGGCTAATACCAACATGAAAGTTAATTAAAGCGAAACTCGACTGACATGAATTTATATGGCCTAATAATATGCCACTGGCTATGCACAGCCCACACACATGCCGCTCTCTCTCTGTCTCCCTCCTAGGCTCTGTGTTACGCGTCACTTAATAGCTCACTATAATTAAAACTGACAAGTAAATTAGTTTGTGCCGCATGCAAGACTAAATGCCCAAACAGCTCTCTGAAGACGTTTACTTTAATTTTTATTGGATTGCAACGAATGCGCAAGCAAAAGCCAACAAAGGGGAAGCGGAAAACTGAAACTGGCATTCGCACCTGGCTGGCAGCGAGATCATGTTGTCTGGTTTTTGGCCATGTTTTATTCATGCGACTATTAAGCGACTTTATCACGCAACAAATATGCACTACGGGGCGTATGCATAATAAATGCCTCAGCCATTGTTCGGGCACGTTGAGCGGCAGCGTGCAGCTGCCACGTTCTACGTCTTCGTTTTCCGGATGATGCACTGCCAATCTGTGCCAGTGTCTTTGGCGCATTTTTATGACCTTGTTTATCCTTGTCACATGGCGGCATCTTTAAAATCGACCACAACTTTGATGAACTCGTAAAAAAAAGAAAAGTAAATATGAAGCGAACGCAAATGCTGGAGGTAAAGGCGCGGGCTGAAAACTGTGAGCGCATCAGGCCATCCAGCGACGGCGGTGGGCGTGGCAGCATGTAGGCGGTCACGATTGGCAGACGCCTGTCATGCAGCAGCTTTGGCCCCAGCCGCCGTCTCGCATGAATGAACGCATAAATTCCAAAATGATTGTCAGGAAAAAGCGTCTGAGAGAAATTAATGATGACTTTTATACGCGAGTAATTCGTGGCATTTTCATAATAAACCGAAACACACACACACACACACAGTGACATAGGTGGCCCATAATTTGATTCGTAAGAAAATGTGCGAAAGAAATTATTTTTGTGAACGCATGCAGGAAATATTTGATATATATCTGAGCAGGGGGTGAACCAAGCGAAAGGCCCAACACACGCACGTACAGACCCCACACACACACACACACACATACACACATGTATATCTCTGCGTGGGTGAATTTGAAATAAAGCTTTTTATGCTCGTTTGCATACATTCTGATTTTTATAGAGATTTAAGCCTGTTTAACAGCCGTCGTGCGATTTATAACGCATAATAAGACAATCGGACGAAACAAAGGCTTTTAAAGAAATACATAAATACATTTGTACACAAATGCGACGAGGGTAGCACGAATTGAGAACTTCAGGTTGAGCCAGTTGGCAGCTGCTGTCAGTCGGCCAGTTGGCCAAGAAAAGTTGTCTAAAAGTATTTGCCACAAAAGTTTTACACAAAACTGAAAGCCAAAGCCAAAGAGAAAGACCCCGAGCAGTGAGAAATGTGACAACTGCAGCGCAATTTGACTTAGTGGACATCGGCAAACGGGATTGGCGTCTGATTCCATGGGGAGCCGCAGCTTCTGGTTGCGGAATAAGTTATTGCAAATTCCATAGGATTTATAGTTTTTATGATGTTTATTTAATTTCGCTCTGTCGCTATCTGCCGCTCGCCTTGGGCAGAGCTTGAGTCCTCGCTCGAATCTAAAGTGACTGCATTTCAAGCCAAGGCAAATTTTTGTAGAATTTTCCACACCAGTTGGAGCATTCCTTGAAAAGGATTATTAAATTCCTCTAGCTTAAGCAGCAACAATATATAAACTAATACAGATATAGCTTTAATGTGATCCAGATGCCGACTAAAAGTGCTGAGTACTTGCTACACATATCGTTTAATGGATGCGACAGACTTAAATCCAATTCGGGACTCTCAACGATTCACTCAACCTGCATAAATTAGTCCCTTTTTCTCTGTTTCTCATTGTTTGGGGCTGTCGCGCTCGCCAAAGTGCAATCAGTGCCAAATTTTGAAATTGAAAATTGAATTCTCGTTAATCGGCTTTGACTAACCTTCACGGCATGCCACGCCCATTGGGAGCAAAGGCCCACTCGAAATATGCGAATAAATGATTTTCATATTTGAAATTTCGACTGCAACACTAGCACCACACATGTATGCGACGTGGTTTCTGCGGTTTGCAGCAGCAACAACAAGGCTAATAAAATATATACAAAATATCTCTATCTGCATGCATAGACAGTAGATACATATATAGATATAGATACATATATGCATAGATATGTATGGAGCGTAACCACAAAGCGTTGCATATTTCAGTTTTTCCTTTGAATGAGCATTAAAAAAAGGCTTTAACAAAATAATACGCACTCAAATAGATGGGAAATTGCTGTTGTGCAAATATTTTTTTTACTCACTGTATATAACACAGCACTGAAATAGAAGTGAATGCCCTAAGACCTTTAAGAGCTGAAAGTCAA